ATACATTTTGGAGTCAGAGTGCATAGTTTCGTGGAATTAGAAAGGAGGAATTATCCAAAGGAGAGAGTGTATAGATGAGGACTGAATCTTGTTGAATGCCTGAAGTTAGGTGGTAAGAGAAGAGAATGGGTCCTAAGAAGGACACACCTGACCACTGAAAATTAGGAGAAAATGAAGATAGTACAATGTCATGGCAAAGGAATGAGTTGTAAGAAGTTAAGGGGAAGATTTGTAGTGCCACATTCCAAAGAGAAGTTGAGAAGAAGGAGGATCCCTCGCCCCCCAAAAAAGGTCATCGGATTTGGAAAGAAGGAAATCACTAGGGCTCTTCAGAAGATTGGTTTCAGTAGTGAGCAGAGAATCTAGATTGTTAGGGATAGGAAAGAAATGAGTGATAAGGTAGTAGGTAATAATGACAGAAAGTCTCAGGGCCACTTGTTAGAAAGATAGGGTAATGAAATAGGAACAACAAACATTTAGTAAATTACTACAGTATACAGTACACTAAACTAAGGCCTAAAGGAGAAACAAATATAAGATATACTCACTACCTTCAAGGAGCTCACCATCGATTATTTATCAATTTCAAAGATCCATGACATTGTTGCCATAGGCACTCCTTCCACCAATCCAGATGCTAACCCCTCAGTGGATGGTTTAATAAATTGTGACCAAGATAAACAAACCAACCAACCCTTGGTAGCCAAATTAGTGATGATAATCTCTCTAATTTTAATTAGGCTGGTCTTCAGATGATGTAAACATTTTGTTGCTGGGCCTATAGTTGAAGGCTTTTTAGCTTGGCTGGTGTCTACTGGCAAAGCTCTTGAGTTCTAGAATTAACCCCATCCCACAATGGCGCACAAGAACAGAACTTCAGCAGATATTGAACTCAAAAATGTATGTTGAGTAGATACAATAATATGTACACAAATAACTGTATTCTAAATTATATGATAAAGGCAGCATGGGGCAGTGGACAGGGCATTGGGTTTGCAGTTGGAGGACCAGGGTTTGAATCACAGTTCTGCCATGTGCAATCTAGGTGATATTAGGCTAGTATTATAGCCTCCTTGGGTCTTGATTTCCTCATTTATAAAAGGAGAAGATTGGATTAGTCCCTTCAGCTAAATATCTCTTCCCAAATATAAAGGAGGGGTCAGAGAGAGAAGCTTGAGACAAGAAGGGGTCACTTCTATCTGGGAATAACAGGGTAGGAGGAGATAGGGCCTTCATGGAGGAAGTGGGACCTGAACTGGGTTTTAAAGGAGAAGAAAGAATCCAAAAGGTGGAAATATTGGAGACCTCCATTCTAGGCATGATGGTGGCATAATCAATATATAGAGCTCATGGACCACAGAGCCAGACTGGCAAATGGTAAAAATAATCTAGTTTGATTGGACAGTTATATGAAATAGCTTGCAAAGGTAAGGTGGAGCCAGATTGTGGAGTGCCTTAATGGACAGGATCAGGAACATGTATTTAATTTGGTAGGCAATAAAGAGCCACTGAGGGTTTTTGAGCAAGATAGTAACCTGACTGCAGATAGGAGCCCAGTGGATACAGTAGTAATGGAATGAAGGAGATGGATCAGTATTAGAGTTGACTAGACTTAGCAACTCATTGGATTCAATTCAATTCAACAAATATGTGTTAAGTGACTACTAAGGGACAGGCACTGTGAACTAAGCACTGTGCATACAAAGACACAAACACAATAGTCCGTGTTTTCTAGGTCCTTCTGATGGATGGAAGAGGCAAAATAAAAGGAAGGCCCATGAGTGAAACTCAAGTTTTAAGCTTTGGTGACTGGGGGAAGATGGTGGTGTGAACAAGAAAAGTAGAAAATTTAGGAGAATGGATAGATTTGTAGATTAAAATGATATGTTCAGTTTGGGACATGGAGACCTGGGCTTGGAGCTAGGAAGACCTGGGTTCTATTCCTGTCTCTGACATACACTGGCTGTGTTACTTTGAGTAAGTCGCTTAACTTCTCAGTGCCCCAGGAAACTCTGACACCTCAAAGGAAGGTGCTGACCCTCATTGGCAAAGGGAAGTTCTTCATCTTTGTGCTAGTAAATTCACAGGTCCAATTCCATTCCCCATCCCTGCATTTGAGGTGCTGGTTAGACAATTTGAGTCATCTTCCTCCTCATCTGGAAGAGCATGGGCAAAGGAAAAGCATGGGATGCATTTGGCTGTAGACAACGGTCCTTTTTAGCCCAGGGAGGCATGTGAAATAAGGCTGGAAAGGTAGCTTGGTGCCACATTGTAGAGATCCCTATCCCTGTCTCTGTCAATAGTGCCACCATTTTACCAGTCACTATGCTCAGAACGTTCCAGTCATCTTTGATTCCTTACCTCCCTGGTTCCACAGAGCCAATCGGTAGTCCTTTTGATGCCATCAAAGTATTTGTTGCAGCTCTCCCCTCCCCACCATTCCCACTGCCATGACCCTAGGGTAGTACTTTATTGCCTGTTGTTGCCTGGAACATTGCCGTGTTCCCTCAGAAGGTCTTCATGTCTCTAGTCTTTCCCTCCTGTAGCTCATCTTTTACAACATTGCCAGATTAAGCTTACGAATGTATATGCCTCTCAGTTAAAATTCAGACTTCTCTATTTGGCCTTTGAAGCTCTTCACGTGATGCCCTTCATTATAAAATACTCTATGAAGTACTGACACGCTTGCTTATTCTCTGCTTATACTGAACTGATTGATTCTGTATCACTCTCTATTATGAGCTTGTCATTCCAGCAAAACCGAGCTGCTTGGTGTTTTAAACAGATGATGTTACATCTTCCGCCTACCCTCCAACCCCCTCCATGCCCTTTCCTTGGCTGTCCCCCAAGCTTAGAATGCCCACCTGTCTCATCTCTACCTCTTGGAATCCTTTTCTCTCTTTAAGGCTCAGCTCAGATGCCATCTCTGACACAAGGCCTTTCTGGCCATTTCTCCTCTCATTTGCCTTCTTTTCTGGGCCCCATGGGTACCTCCATTAATACAGCAAGACATTAATTAGTTTATTTCATAGCCACACTAGGTACTGAGTAAGCTGGCTGCCAACAAGATTAAATCTTCAGAGTTCTTTTTCAGAATATTTTGAACATTTCCCTTAAAAGTCCTGTAAAGACTATTAAAAAGTGTCCCTTAAAAGAGTCTGTAATTGTGGGGTCCTATGGAGTAGATCAGCATAGTGTACTGGATAGAGAGCCAGCCCACCTTTGACACATGCTGGTTGTGAGACCCTGGGCAAGTCATTTAACCTTTCAATGGTCCAAGCAGCTCTTGAAGACTCCAAGTTGCAGAAATGGTGCCTGATTACTCATTTAGGAGTTTCCTCTACAGAAAAATCACAGTCCTTATCTCTGTCCCTAATTGTAGAATAATGCTTATTCTTGTTCTGAACATTCATGGGTAGATCAAAGAAGGGAAGAGAATAGAGTCCCACCCCTGGCTCCAGCCCAAGCTATGGTGTTGGCCTCCTGCGCAAGGCCTGCTCTCAGGCTTCCTGGTCTCTTGGCCCATGTCTCCATTGCCAGCCATCCACCTTCTTCCTAAACTCATTCATCCATTCCCAGAGATGGACTGATGCTTATCCTCTTCTCTTAAGAGTATTGGGTACTCTTTATTGCCTCATAGACACTTTAGTATTTCAGGAACCATGATTTCTTTCATTTTGTGGGTATTCCTTCCATTGACCCATACCACAATCTTACCATAACTTGGCAGATGATCTTTGAGAGATGATGGGGACAAAACATTTATCACGTTGCAGCCAACCTCTTGTGGAACATCTCTGGATTTTAGCTAGATTGTTCTTCAGATGACTGCCATTCAGGACACTGCTGCGCCTATCCTTGGCATCTTCGTAACTTAGAAGGACTTGCCAATGCTTGTGCACAGCTAGCATTGTCTTCAAGAATGAATGGTTACTGGGGCAGCTAGGTGGCACAGTGTATAGAGCTCTGGCCTTGGAGTTAGGACTACCTGAGTTCAAATCTGGCCTCAGATGCTTGACACTAATTAACTGTGTGACCCAGGGCAAGTCACTTAACCCCTGATTGCCTCCCCAAAAAGTGGAAAAAAAAAAAGAGTGGTGTGTTGTGATGACATGGCCATGTAGGACTTGAGTGTAGAACTTAATGGATGGGAGAGATTCAGTGCAGAAGTTTATTCAAAGAAGATCTGGTAAGTAATTACTCATTTGGGTACATTGTTTCTTGGCCTACTCATTTTCTTTTCCCTGAATTCAGGGATACTCAATTTAATTAGTAAATCATCTTTGAAAAATATATTATGGTTATTACATAATAATAACTGATATTTATATACTGCTCTAAAGTTTCCACAGTATTTTATAGACATCATTTCATTTGAACCTCACAGCAACTTTCAGAGGTGGAGATTACAGGGATTATTTCCCTGTATTGTGGATGTGGAAGCTCAGAGAGGCTCTGGTCAGAGGCTGGGGCTCCGAGATGTCAAGTGACTTGCCCATGGCCACATAGCTAGTATGTGTCAGAGGTTGGAACTGAACCCAGGCCTTCTTGACTTCAGGGCCATCCCTACATCTGCCATGCCACATTGTCTTCCTAACTTAATGTTAGCCTTGCCTTATTCTGTTTCGATTATTCACAGTAACCTGCTTGTCTGCATGTGAAGAGAGCTCAGGAGGAAAACATGAGAAATAAGCAGATCATTCTAAATTGAAAAGTACATATAGATAAAGGCTGAACCTTTATAAGATAAAGGTATCATCAGTCTAAATATTTGTAAGAAGGCTCCTCCGTGGAATCATGTAATTCTCGGCATCCTCATCCAATCCTGCAGGGGCATTTACAGGATGGTTGTGCATTTTCTCCGGCATTCTTGTAGCTCAATGAAAAGTGCCCCACGTGGGCTATTTTGTATTGTGGTTGTGAGCTACCCTTGTAGTCTTTGGGTAGGCAGAACTGTCATTGAAGGATCAAGAATGAAAATGGGTTTTATTGTTTTCCAGCTGTGTGTGGTGTCTCTGGCGCTCTTCCGGACCCTTATTGGCTTACATTGTGAAGATGTAATGCTGCAGCTGGTTCTCAGGTAAGATCCCATTGTTTTTCTCTTTCTACCTACTTTATGGTGGCTTCTTTTGTTTTGTTCCTGTAAGACAAGCCAAATAGCTCCTTTGCTGGGGCAGGGATGGAAAAACAACAACAAAAACCCTCACGATGTAAAATAACCCGAGGAAAATTCCTTTAACTTTTTCCATGTTGTTTTCCAAAGTTAATTTCAGAGTTTCTCCATTTAAATTTGTAGGAGGCCATACGGAGGTGGTATGGGACAGGAAGAGGAGCTGTAGACAGGGATTCAAATCCCAATTCTGCCATTTTATTATCTGGGCTCTCAGACAACTAACTCACTTTATCTCACCTGGCCTCAGTTTGTGTATTTAGAAAATGAGGATTAGCTGGTCCTTGAGGTCTCTTCCAATTGTGATCAACTGTCATTGGAAACTTGAAATAGATGAATATTTAAAACATTTATAAGTTTTCATCATTTTTTATCTTTTTTTTTTAAGGCAATTGGGGTTAAGTGACTTGCCGAGGATCACACAGCTAGTAAGTGTCAAGTGTTTGGTCTGAGGTCATATTTGAACTCAGGTCCCCCTGACTTCAGGGTCGGTGCTCCATCCACTGTGCCACCTAGCTGCCCCCCATTTTTTATCTTTTCCCTGACAGTCACCACTACCCTGGTTCAGCCCCTTGTCGTGGCTCTTCTATAACATCACAATAGCTTCCTAATTGGTCTCCATGCCTTAAACTCACTCCTCTTCAGACTGTCTACCACTCAGGTGCCAAAATGGTTTTCCTAGATTGCAAGTGTGACCATATCTTTCCCCTTAGGGCAGGGGTGCTTAACCTGAAGTCCAGAAACATAAAATTTGTTTTATAACTATTCCATTATAATTGATTTCCTTTATCACCCTACGTATTTTATTTTATGCATTTAAAAACATTATTCTGCGAAGGGACCCATAGACTTCACCAGACTGCCCAAGGGGTCCATGACACAAAAAAGGGTTAAGAAGTCATACCATAGTGACTAGGACACGCTTCTCTGGTTAGCATTTAAAGCCTTTCACAATCTGACTCCAGCCTACCTTCACAGTTTTATTATGCATTAATCCCCTTCATACACTCTGTGTCCAACTGCCTTTCTTGTTGTTCACATACTATATTCCTTCCGTCTATGTCTCTTTGCCTCAGCTCTGCTTCTTAGAAGCCCTTGTTGCCTTCAAATTTCTTTTTTATTTAAAAATTTAAATCTATTTAAACTTAAACATCAAACAAAATGCATGTAATAAATTTAACTACACGTAACTTTCAAAACTGCTTATTTGTGTTTTCTTCTGGCCTGAATTCTGTTCATAATGCTTCAGTGGCCCACTTTTCTTTCTTTCTTTTTTCTTTTTCTCCTCCCTCCTTCCCTTCCTTCCTTCTCTCCCTGTCTTTCTTTCCTTCTCTCCCTCTTTTTCTCTTTTTCTCTCTCTCTTTGTCTTTTTTTCCTTCCCGCCTTTCTTTCTTTCTTTCTCTTTCTTTCTTTCGTTCTTTTGTTCTTTCTTTCTGTCATCATTTTTGAGTACCCCTCCTAGTGGTACAGAAGTTGTAGCATCCTACATTACAAGATAGAAGAGAACTTATCTAACCCCTTCATTTTACAAATGAAAACCTGAGACCCAGAGAATTTAAATAGCCTCACAGCTAGTAAATTCCAGAGTTGAAATTTGAACCCAGATCTTTCCAATTCCTAAGTCCAGAACACTTTTCATTGCAAATCAGTTGCTTTAAAGATACTAGAATAAGATCCATCAAATTCCCTGAAGGTATGACAGGAGTTATCAAGGAGCAATGGGAGCTTTCTGCTTCTATGTCATAGGGCCAGATTTGGTACATGTTGCCAGTGACTGGTAGAGAGAGCTCACTGGCTCTGGGGTGAACTTGGTGACCACAATAAATGAGGGTATCCATTTGATTTCTAGAGGAGGAGGAACACCTGAGTTTGCAGAAAGGCCTCACAGCTGGTGCACATTGTTACTTCTGTTGGAGGTCAGAGGTAAAAAGATAAAGATGATATGGTTTTGGAATTGGAGACTGACTCATGGAGTGGTTTGGTATGGGATGGAAGGAAGGAAGGAAGAAAAAGGGGAGGGAGGAAAGGGGAGGGAAAGAAAGAACACAAACTAGATTTGGACTCAGAAGACCTGGGTTCAAATCCTCACTCCTCTCTTTGCTGCTTTTTCACCATGGGCCGAATCAGTGTGGCTTGTGGTTAGAGCTTGCTGAAATAGTTACCTGTGACTATACTTGCCGAAGTATGGGTTGATACTGTCTGGTATGGGGATAAATAATGGGCAGTTCTTAGCTATATTTCACAGACTGCAAGTAGTGTTAACTTCATAATCCTGTTAATATGCTGAACAGGCATGTTTGAAAGTGGTCTGGGGAAGAGAAATAGAACAAAGGAGAAGTTTCTAGGCAAAATAAAAAAAAATTAAAATGACTCTCTTGAGAAATTTGTGTACTCCTAGGTGTGAGCTCAAAATAATCTTTTTTCCCTCCCTCTGGTCATCTGAATTGCACCTTCCCCATATATCTCTAAGTATACACACATGCACACAGACATATATGTGTGTACATTTGTATATGCATACATGTAGACGTATAGTCTAGACACATATGTATATCTTCACCACGGGGAATATGTATATTATAGCACAGTTAACTGATGTACATCCAAATGACCCATGGGGCTGTTTGCGATCTCTTTGTTACACTTTATGAATCGATCTCCTGATCTGAACTCAGTGAAGTTCAAAATCCCCTGTATAGCTCTTTCAAAACATAAAAAAATTAAAAAAAAAAACACCAAACCAGAGGTTCTGTTTTCCTTCCTCTTCCACTAAAGATCTGACGCCTCATTATATGGCGGAGGTGACACTTTGAACTCTCAGGGAGAGTTTCCTTTCTTTTCTTTCTTTTCTATTCCTTTCTTTCCCCTGACTTTAAACAAAACCAGGGCCGTTTTCACCTTAGTTGTGGAACTGTGTTCCATCATCTCATTGATTTCTGCCTGCTGGGATTGTTTCTCCCTGAAGGTGTTGACATCCCATCTCTGTAAAGCACGTCCTATGTTTGCGTTGGCTTGTTTTATTCTTCATTTTCTTGCCTTTGAGTATGTGTATGCGTGTGCGTGTGCATGTGCATGTGTGTGTGTGTATGTGTGTGTGCATGTATATGTGTATGTGTGAGTTTTAACGTGGCTAGTGTGTGACTGGTGTCCTTCCTCGCTGAATCTGTGTATCATTTAAATGAGTGAAGCCCGGGAGAGTGGGAGGAAATGCACGGAAGAGGGGACGGGCTGCAGTAAGAAGACGCTAGCAGCGTGACCCTGAGTTATCTGATTGTTCTTCTCCAATCAGACTCTGCTCATCATAATAACTCACATTCAGTCGGTGCTTTAAGGTTTATTATTAATAACAATGGCTAACATTGATGCGGTGCTTTGAAAGTACTCATTTGACTCTGAAAAGAATAATAATTCCTGGCATTCACACAGTGCTTGAAGGCTTCCAAAGTGCTTGAAATGCATTATCTTATTTTATCCTCACAACAGTCATGTTGCCAAGATTATTATTTTGCAGACGAAGAAACTGCCCCTTAGAGAAGTTAAATAAATTGGCTGTGGTCTCACAGCTGGTGAGGGTCAGAATTTAGAATTAGAACCCAGGTCTTTCTTGACTACAAATCCAGTCCCCTTTCCACTATACCAGGGATTAGAACCTAGGTCTTTCTTGACTGCAAATCCAGCACTCTTTCTACTACACCACACTGCCTTCCCAATTCACTTTCCTCACAAAAACACTGCGAAGTGAGCAATGTTGTTATCCCCATTTTACAGATGAAGAAACTGAGGCTTAGAGAAATGAAATGATTTGCCCATAGTCACATGGCTAGTAAGTATTAGCAGCAAGATTTGAATCCATAGGCCTTTTGATGCCAAGTTCAGACAATGTTCTTTCTATTACATTATCTTTTAATGCACAAGCAGACTGTGGAAAGGCCGGTACTTAGCATAGTTCTTGGCACACAGTAGGTGCCTAATATTTATTATTTATCATTTGATTGATGTGGTCCAGTGGCTATAGACCTAGGTCTCTTCTGAGACTACATGACCATTGACACAGGTCACTTTAACTTCTCAGTGCCTTAGTTTCTTGGGGACGACAATAACAACAACAACAATAATAATAACAGATCTATTTCAAATAGCCATTGTGAAAAAGCACTTCTGTATTTCTTAAACTAGGGCAGCTAGGGGCGACAGTGAATAGAGCTCTGGGTCTAGAGTCAGGAAGACTTGAAGACCTGAGTTCAAATCTGGCTTCAGATACTTACTAGCTGTGTGACCCTGGACAAGTCGTTTCACCCTATTTGCCTTAGTTTCCTCATCTGTAAAAAGAGCTAGAGAAGGAAATGACAAATGACTCCAGTGTTTTTGCCAAGAAAACCCCAAATGGGGTCATGAAGAGTCAGACATGACTGAAACAACTGATCAACAGCAGTGAAAGTGTGAGAATCATTGTGGTTCTACCCGGAGAATTTTCCTAAATTTAGATGTGACTCCAGCCTTATTTTACAATGTGAATTTAATTTAATGAGTGAATGATTCAGTGAGAGATTCCAATAACAAACACTGGAAACAAATTGTATATCAAAAAACCACAGAAGAAACAAATAAATTGTGGTGTGTTAGTGAAATGGAATATTATTGCCCCATAAAAAGTTCAAATATGAAGGATAAAAAGAAATACAGCAAGGCTCATATGAAGTGATCCAGAATGATGAAAGCAAAGTTAGGACAACTTATGTACCAACTTCCGCTGTATAAAAAATGACTAACAGAATCTTCCAAATTCATAGACAGAAGAGAAATAGGGAGGAGACAGAGGGCAAATAAGATGTTATAGTAGAGCTTTGGGATTTTTTTTTTTGGTTGTTGTCAAAGTTTATATCCTTTTTCCCTCCTCATTCAAAATATAACTAGTTTGGAGCTTATGATTTTACGTAATTTTGTTCCTTTCTCTGCAGCTGTTTTGAAATTTTTAATAATAAATATATAATATATATAAATATATAATAATAAAATAAAAAATTCCGGTATCCAAGTCTGAACCCATCCTCCTCCTCTGTCATTGCCAGTTTTGCTAATGGTATTTTCTTCTTACTAATGTAATGCAGCCTCTCAGCACTCTGAGCATCTCTCTAGTTAAAGGTCTCCCTCCAAGCAGGCTTTCCTGTTTCCTTCTTTCAGACAACATCTTTCCTGCCATGAGGCCTCTCCTGTCCCTTCTGTCCTGTGTTCACCACAAATTCCTGATTTCCACTAAGGCACGTTTTTGCAAGGTTGCAATTGTCACATAGCCCAGGAGTCTAAATGTAATTTCAAGCTGCCCACTGGTGATATTTGATGAATAGCTTTATCATGTTTGGTCTAGTGTTTCATTTTTCCTCTCTCAAATGAAGAGGGGGGAAATCTATGTGTATCAACTTCAATGGTGAAAAATGTTCTATTTACTTCCAGCCTAAATGAAACTCAGTCATCAGGTTCACGTGGTCTAAGAAAATAGTGAATCATTTTATTTTTAAATCATTCATGAACAAAATAAGCCTGCGTAAAGACCTTGACTGTGGCAAGTGTTTAGGGAATGGGGAATAATAGAATGTTTTGCTTAGTTTGCTACATTCAGTGCCTAGTAGCTGTGTGACTTTGGTGTCCATTTAACCTCTACGACCTTTAGATTCCTCATCTACAAAATGGACAACACAAGGTTCTTGTGAGACTCCAATGGGAATAAGTGGATAGAATGCTGGGCCTGGAGTCGGGAGGACCTGAGTTCAAATCCAGCCTCAGATACTTATTAGCTGTGTGACCCTGGGCAGGTCACTTTACCATATTTGCCTCAGTTTCCTCATCTGTAAAATGAGCTGGAGAAGGAAATGGCAAACCATTCTAGTGTCTCTGCCAGGAAAACCCCAAATGGGGTCATGAAGAGTCGGACATGACTGAAATAGTCCAACAATAACAAATGTGTCTATGTATATATGTGTGTGTGTGTATACATACACACATGGTGCTTTGCAAACTTTGAAGCACTATATAAAGGCCAGTTTTCAATATTATTTATTAACGATGTAAATTGATACAATAGATTTCCTCTCCTTCTATTGATGTAGGAAAATGAAACACTTGACCAGACCAAATATGATAAATCAGATTATCAGCTGTTGCCAGTGGGTAGCTTGACCTTAACCTGGGTTGTTAGCAGCTAAATTTGATGCAGTTCAAATAGAAATGGTTCTCAACCTGGTTGCTATCCAGCTATTGTTCACTTATGTTTAATGTTCTGCAGACTGTTTCATGTGTAGGTAAGAATGACTGCCTTTTGTAATTGAATAAAAAAAGCATAGGGATTTAAGTTCATCTCCTGTAGGCTTACTGAGATCATCTTATTATCTATCTTGTTTTTCTCTTCTTTTTCGATGGCATTCAGATAGAAAACAAGCTGGACTAAAGCACTCTCCTGCTATCATTCTTTTGTGTTTGATGTTCTGTAGTCTATGGCATGGTTGGATAAAATAAAAGCTTTTTGTAATTGAATTAAAGTATTAGCACACAAACTCATCTGCAGGCTCGCAGAAAGCATCTTCTGGACAGCTCCGGTAGCTGACAAGGTGAATGGGATGATGTATGTGTACTTCGTCCTGTTCCCATATGAGGTTTTGATTTCTTTTTGCTAGGTCTTCGCATATTTTGATAGCTTTAAAATTATTATCTCATTCTCATAATTTTTCATAAAAAGTGAGATGAGTTCAGATAGAAATTATCCTGAGATAAGTTGTTACCCTGCTGTTATTATCTTATATTAATTTTTCTTTGTACAGTTATACAGATGGATGCAGTTTTTATTGTGCCTAGCACATTGTCTGGAACATATTAAGTGCTTAATAAATTCTTGCTTATGAATAACAATAATAATAATAGAAGTCTTTGGTTAACTGAAGTTACATCGACTAATAGATTTACTAGTGTAAGGAGCCTTAGAAGTAGAACTTTTTTGTTTTAAAATCTTTAAAAACATACTAAATAATTTTGTCTGGAGATAGAAAAGATTCTCAGCCTCATCTGGAGCCAACACCCTCTTTACAGAGTTGGGGAACCTGAATTTCAGAGAGGGACCCAGTTCACATAGACAGTAAATAGCCCGAGCTGGGATTCTTACGTGGCTCCTTCCTCCAATGAAGGACTTTCCCCACAGAATGGTGTTGCCTTTTCGCTTTCCTAACTTAGTAACTAGAGCATAATGAAAGAAATTGGATCTTTTTAAAACACGGCGGATCTTGCAGAGGTACAAAGGTTTCATTTTGAAGTTCAGGTGTGGTCAGTTCTGGGTATAAAAGGTGTTGCTCAACTGTCTACATCTACCCTTCAGCTGCTTATCTAAGGATGTGCCCTTGAAACTTTTCATGTATTAAAACTAAATCCTTGACATATGTTTGTTTTCTGGTGGTAAGTTCCTTTTTCCTGGAAGTAGACTTGAAAATGAAATCATTCCAGTGACTTAAGAGATCTGGTTAAATTAGACTTTTCTGAATTACATTAAAGCTCAGATTTTTTTTTTTTTAAATTGTTTCTCTGAGAAAATGTAAGACTTTGCTTATACATATTAAGAATTCATATTTCTTTAGCACTTAAGGTTTACAAAGCATTTTCCTCACAACAACTTTGTGACGTAGGAGTAGGATATAAGTAGTCATATCCCCATTTTAGAGATGAAGAAACTGAGATTAAAGGCTGGAAAGGACTTGCCTGTGATCACAAAGCTTTGTAAATTGTCAGAGCTGGCATTTTAATTTAAAGTCAGGAAGTGGAAAGAGGACTAGTTTTGGAGTCAGAGGTCCAGGATTTGAATCTAGGTTCTGCTCCTTATTACTGGGTTCAGTGTTGACAAAATGTGTCCCTTCTCTGGGGCAGCGAGGTGGCGCAGTGGATAGAGCACTGGCTTTGGAGTCAGGAGGACCTGAGTTCAAATGTGACCTTAGACACTTGACATTTGCTAGCTGTGTGACGTTGGGCAAGTCACTTAACCCCATTGCCTGCCAAAAAAAAATGTTTCCCTTCTCATGGCTTCAGTTTCCTTATCTGTCACATGAAGAGAAGGTGATAGCAATCTCTGAGGGCCCTCTTACCTCTTAAAGTGTGACCATGAGCCTAACCATCTTTTTGCTGTGCCGCAACTGCCTCTGTATCAGAGCACCAAGAGCAGAGAATCAGACCCAGATGCGGTGCCTCCGGATGTTTAGAACCTAGCACACTGTGTACTCCATGTCCTCACTCAGAGGGTATGTCATTGCCTTTATTATCATTTTGCTCATTAAGGAAGACAGTCTGCTAAGCAGTTGGACTACAATGGGGCCCAGTGTTCCGTCGTTGCCTCACAAGTGTTTGAGGAGTGACTCCAACTTGAAACGTCCAGAGTCCCGGCTGGTACAGGGTTTGGAATTACTCTAAAACTTCTTGCAAGAAGTGGAAGCATCCAGCCGTGCTCCCAGCCATCCAGCCATGCTCCCAGCGAGGCATTGGCCCTTATGTTCCTGTTTTATCCGCAGGACATATGGAAGCTGATCTGGGACATGATGAAGGCCCTCCTACCTTCATTGTCTGCCAACTCTGGGGCTGGAGGACGTGTCAGCTCTTGGTATTAATGAAGCACCAGGCGTTCCTTTGGTTGAAACGAACCATTTCTTTGTATTAATGGAAATACAATTCTTCTTTCAGGTACCTAATCCCGTGCAACCATATGATGATGAGTCAAAGGTGGGCTGTGAAAGAAAGAGATTGCTATTCTGTTTCTGCTGCTAAGCTCCTTGCTCTGACCCCCGTGTGCTGCTCCAGTGGGATCACCCTGACTCTTGGGAACCAGGAAAGGGACCACATCCTTTGGTCCAAGTTCATGCACAATGATTCAGGTGGGAACTTGCTTGGAGTTGTCTTGAAACAAAGAGTATGAACAAAACAAACAAAAAAAAAACCCCGAAACAAAACAAAACAAAAAAAAAGAAACAAAGACTATTCACGTTCTTCTCTCTCTATGGGATGTCTGTATCTGGGTAGACAGAGCAGTATGCCCTAAATCCAAACAGGTGAAGGCTGCTTCTTCACCTGATGAATGATTAATTTGGGGTTGTGGTTCTTCTTCATGAATTATGTACTCTCAGTAATTAGCACCAAATGAAAAACAGAGGCCTTCCCTCATTTATTGCTTCTAAATCTTTATTTTAAGGATAATTCCCTAGTGACTTCCTGGTGTCAGAAATGGAAAGACATATTCCAGTATGTCTTAAAAAACTAAGTTTGTTTATTCATGTAATATCCAAATTTGCATTAGACCATACTGAGGCTCCTTGATAGCCTGACTGCATATGGCTTGATTCCCAATATGCAGCTATAAAGTTTAAGTATGGGGAAAGAAAAATGGCAGCTTGCTGGGTATGGTGCATTGTGAATGTGAGCACTTAATACATATTGCATTTTCTACAAATACTTAATATGGTAGTTGTGCATTTTGACTGATCAAATTAATAATATGTAGATTAAGTATGTGACAGGTGGGTGGAATAATATATTTGTGTTTTGGTTGGTTGGTTTTAGGAATTGAAAGTGCAACTCTGTGAATTATATTTATATCCATCTCTATATGCCCATATCCATATCAACATCTATATCATCTATATCTGTATCTAGCTATATCTATATCTTCTTTCTACCTAGTTATCTTGACATTGTTCTATGTTAGTCTGAATTTAGGCAATGCTTCTTAAATGAGATATCTTGGGGAAAAATAAAAAACTAAATAACTAAATAAACACACACACACACACACACACACACACACACAGAGGAAGACTACTTATTATAAACTGTACCTAGATTTTATATAAGCCTCCTTTGAACCAATATGGGTATATTGAATTTAATAAACATTTATTATGCACCTACTATGTGCTTAATAATAACTCATTAGGCCCTGGACATAAAAAAGCACGACTGAAACAGTCCCTTACTTCAAGGGGCTGATCTTCTTTTAGGGGTTACGTGAAGGCACAGTAAAATAATAAGCTATGGTAGGGAAGAGGAGAAGGGAGTTCTGTGGCCAGTCCATTCATGTGTACAGATAGCTGCAGAGAGAAAATGTATTCATGTCCCTTCAGTACTTGTTCAGGCGACCCTTTCAATGGAGAAGTCCTGACTGAATCCTAATGACCAGGGAAGGGTATATACACTTACAGTACTTTCTCATGTTCCCAAGACCTAGCTTTGTCTTAAAACATAGATTGTTATTAATATTTTTTGTTTTTATGTCACCTAAATTTCCCCCTATAATAATAGGTGGCAGCTATTGGATATAAAAATACAGTGCCGGGCTTGGAGTCAGAAAGACCAGGGTTAAAATCTTGCCTTGGACACACTAGCTGTGTGGCCCTAGATGAGTCACTTACCTTCTGTCTGCCTCAGTTTCCTCAACTGTAAAATGGGAATAATAGTATCATCTATTTCTCTAGGTTGTTTTGAGCATCAGCTGAGACAATATTTATAAAGCTTGATACATAGTAGCCACTTAATAAATGCTTCCTTCCCTCCCTCTCTCCCTTCTTTCCTTCCTTCCTTCTTTCCTTCCTTCCTTCCCTTAATACAGAGAATTTCAGCCTTTGACATTTACTGCTTGTGTGACCTTGGGCAAGTCATTTCAGTTTCCTCATCTGGAGGGTTGGGCTAGATGACCCCTCTGGTTCCTTACTATTTAAAATCTTTGATCCCCATGCATTATTGCAATGTCATGCTGCCATCGAATTCATCTCTAAATAGAGCAGGAGTTCTTAACCTGTATCCTTTAATTTCAGGGCGAATATGAACTTGGGTGAGGGAAAAAAATCTCTTTTTTCACTAACCTCTAACTGAAATTTATTATTTATCTCTATTCTGAGAAGGGGTCCATAGGTTTCACCAGACTGACAAAGGGGGTCCTTGACAAACAGAAAGGTTAAGAACCCAAGATAGAATTATCTTTATGAGTAGGTTCCCCCAATTGAGAAAGTTATCATTGCGTTTGGCTTGAATACGTTTTTAGAAATTACTGTGTCCTTCCTTCCAAGGACCGGTGAGTCCTTGGTATTTGTGTGTTTCCATGTGACAGCGGGCCCCGGTGAACTTGCTAGGATCATAGTGTGTTGTTCTAGAAGGGACTGAACCTTAGAGCTTATCTCGTCCAGCCCTCTCCCTCTCTTTGGTGATTCTGTGTGGTTGTACATGAAGATAACTTCCTGTTGCATCGATTTTGCTGGGCAAAGCAGAGAGGATTTCGTGTACTTTGCTAGTTGCTAATTTTTCACATTTACTTTTCTACACTACAAAAATTGAGCCCATCTTTAAAACATTTTTTTTTTGTCCCTCTATTCAACACTGGCTCAGGCTGCATTTGATGCTTTAAAACAACACCCTTTGAAGCTAGGAAATGGCCTTTTATCGCAGGAGCTAAATTTTTATCTTTTTAATTTTTTCCCCAAGACATTAATTTTATTAGTAAGCAAGTGGCAAGTCAGTGAGTTTGCTGTTATGATGATACATCTTAAATTTTTACATTTTAATGATGATATACACACTCATTTTTAATTGGGAGGAGAAGAGAATATGTGGGGTTTTTTTTTTGTTGTTTTATTTTTGGTGAGGCAATTGGGGTTAAATGACTTACCCAGGGTCACAAAGCTAGTAAGTATCAAGTGCCTGGTCTGAGGCCAGATTTGAACTCAGGTCCTACTGACTCCAGGGCTGGTGCTGTATCCATTGTACCACCTAGCTGCCCTGAAAATATGGTTTTATTAGTGAAGAAACAGGGAATATTATATTAAAAGTGCCACTCTGGGAAAAATGGATAATTGTCAGGATGAAAGAAATCTCTTCTGCTTTGACGTGATAAATATGGGCAAAGAAATACACTGTCTTCATGTTAATCCCTTTCAGATCATACTGGCTAAATCCCATATGTGTTTATGGCAATGCGATGTTTGGGTATATTGTGAACATTGCTTAGCGTAACACATAGTAGGCACTCTTACTGCCTGACTGTGATATTGTAGTGTTAGTGAATCTCCCCGAGAACCCAATTTATGACCATAGAGTAACTTTGGTGAGACTTTGGTTCCCCAAAATCTCATACTGCAATACTTTTGAAAGACATCTTCTCTTCCTACATCTGTGTGGAGAACTTCAGGCATAGAATGTCCTTCCATCTCTAACTTAAGGTCTTAAAGAGCTGTCTGCAACAGTAAGAGCTTGACTTGCCTGCGGTCACACAGCTAATCTAAGAGGGACAAGATTTGAACTCGGGTCCTCTTGACTCCAAGGCCCAACCTTCTCTTGACTATTCCATGTTACCTCTCACTTCTTCCTCTCAAAAAACAATTAATAGTAATAATATATTCCTGTTTTACTTTAAGGTTTACAAAATGCTTCTCTGTGCCCCCCCTCCCCTGAGCATCCTCATGAGGTAGATAGTGTGAGTCCTTTTCCCCATTTTATAGTTAAGGAAACTTATTCTTAGAAAGGGGAAGTCACTTTACTGAGATCATATATATATATTATATATATATAATTGTATATACAACGTATACATTATATACAATTATGTACAAAGATACACAATTATATACAATATACTATATATAAACAATATACGTGTATATATATACATATACATACATATACATACATATATATATAATTATTTATACACACACACACACACACACATACATACATACATACATATATAAAGCATTGCGGCCAGGATTTGAATCCAGATCTCCTGATTCCACATCCAGCCAGTGCTCTCACTAAACCATGCTTCCAATAAAACTCTAAGAAAATAGATATTTCCCTATATACATTTCTTTCTGAGAGAGAGCATTTAATTTTTGCAGGGTAAACATTTTCCCGTCCGATAACTTGCCCTACAAATGGCCATATCCAGGCCCTCAAGCTCCCCTTCTTGGTTTGCTTCCTTCTGTTAGCAAAGACTTTCTGTTCTTGTAAAACTTCTTTTTTTCTTAAATCCAAGAACAGATCATATTACATTTTGAGCCATGTGTGTCTTTCATTTCAGGCCCTGGAGAGCAGCGTCCTCCTGGGGAAATGTCTCCGTCAGCCTGCATTGTGGAGTATGGGAAAGCCTTGGACATTAGCTACCTTCAGTACCTTTGGGAGGCCCACAATAACATCAGCCACTGCATGAAGGACTGCCAAGTTTGGTCTGCTCTTTATGATGGAGAATCCCCTGATCCTGATACCTTTCTCTCCAGTCTGAAGGAGGAGAACAATAAAAATGTGTCCTACCCAGTGCTGAGGACGCACCAGCAGTTACCCGGCCATCCCTGTTCTCAGCTCACGCACAAGAAGGAGAAGAGCCAGACAGACCTGGAATGGGATGACAGCTATGATACGGGAATGTCTGCTCAGTCAGGAGGTAGCCCCTCTCAGCCCTGTGAGGATTTGGAGACCCCAGCTCCTCCGGTCCCCATAGATCCCCCCAAGCACATCCAGGAGATGAAGAAGAATGCCATCATGATGTTCAAAGGCTCTTACATAGAGGAATCTGACTTTCAGGATGATGTCATGGTTTACAGGCTCTGTGCTGAGAAAGATGCCCAGGACAGCCACAATGAGCCTCTGAAGTCCTCGAGGTCCCCCCTGAACAATGGGCCCCTTGATTGTTCCCAGCCACAAACAGATTCTGAGGAAGAACCAGATAGGATCAATGCAAGCTTGAGTCATGAAGAGCCTGAGGAATCCTACCAGAGCCCTTCCAGGGCGGCCTCACCATCTGTGTCTGAGTCGGCCCAAGCTGCACCTCTGGAGGCAGACCACAATTCTGGGGTGATGGCGGCCAGCCCAGATGGTGAAGACTTCCTTACCCAGTATGAGAAAATCATAAAAGAACTGGACTCGGGCTCTGAGGGTTTGATGGAAGACAGTTTCCCAACACCTGCTCCCTCACCTCCTGTGCCAGAGGAGGAAGGGGAGAAGAAGGGAGAAGCAAAGGAAGAAGAGGAAACAAGTGAGGCAGAGGAAAGAAAGGAAGAAGAGGAAGAGGAAGATGACTTTGAGCATTTTGTGGCTGAGGCTCCTTCAGCAGAAAGCTTACCTTCCCCATTTGGGATGAAAGATCAGACTGCCTTTCCTAGTCGTCATGCGAGGACTCAAGGGGCCCCCTTTACAGGTGAAGATTTCAGCCACTTTGCTGCATCTGTTTTCTGAGAGTTATGATGTGTTTTGGGGCAGGAAGATAAGGCAGGACAGAGTAAGAGTGTGGTTCTTTGACTCAACACAAGGAAGAAAGTATTTCGTGGTATTATTTAGCAGAATTTCTTTCTCTTTTTAGGACTAAAAGCTTTCTTTTAATTTCTTCAAGGAAAAACATAAAACCAAATAAAAATTTACATAGACAAACTTCCTTTTCTACAATAAAATTGTAAAATTAAATAGTCTTATCTTTAATAATGGCAAATAAAATGAAGCAGCAGGATGTTTGATCTTTAAATAGAAGTAATGACAATAGCTGACATTAATATGGGATCATAGAATTCATATCTGGAAGGGACTTTAGAATAACTGGATAATGTTCAAAAAGACATTGGTTCTGGTTTAATAGCATTTCCTAAAAGCTATTCCAGTGAAGAGCAAATTCTCAGACAGGTCCTCCTCCACTGGAAAGGCTTCAAGTACAGTCCTGTACAAGGCAGACAAAGTATGTTCCTTGCCTGAGGACCAGCTCAGCTCAATTTAGCAAGGCTTTCCATCTGACAGCTTGGCCAAAAAGTGATGAACTTTTCAGCCACAGCAGCTCTCCAAGATCATCTACTAAGACCGAGTGGTTGGAATCTGCCGTGGTGAATGCAGTACCTGCATCAATGAAATCACAGGTCCTTGAAGTCTTTAGGAGTGTAGAGGGTGATGACTGATCTTATTATCTAATTATCTTGGCATAGTGACATGTTTAGAGTTGTTGTCTGTAGGATATTTGGACCTGTGATTTCTTCATCTTTGTATGGAACTCCCTGCAAGGAAACTCCCGCTACTAGTGCAGTTTAACAGCTGTTTTATAGATTATAGTTTTAGAGGGGGCAGCTAGGTGGCGCAGTGGATACAGCACCGGCCCTGAAGTCAGGAGGACCCGAGTTCAAATAAGGCCTCAGACCAAACACTTGACACGTGCTAGCTGTGTGACCTTGGGCAAGTCACTTAACCCCGATTGCCTTACTAAAAAAAAATAAATAAATAAAACAAAATTAAAAAAAAAAAGAGTATAGTCTTAGAGAATTGCTTAAGTTGCTGAAAGGTCAACTAGCCTCCAGAGTCACACAGCCAGTGTGTGTCAGAGGAGGGTCTTAAACCCAGGCCTTAAACACAAACACACACCCCCCCCCCACACACAAAATCTCTTTCTATATATATGCAGAGACCTATGTGTATCTATATACATCCATAGAGGTTGAACCATTTATCTGTCTGTCTATCCAGCTGAAAATACTTATGAAGCTTTACTCTGTGTGTATGTGTATATGCATAACTTTATAGGTTTTGTAAAAAAAAAAAAAATTCCTCTTTTGACATCTTCCCTTGGTATTCCATATGCTCATTCTGTCTTATCTCTCCATCTGTTAACTATGTACTAAAAGAATGAATGGTTGCTATTAATCTTACCGTTTTCTAATGATATCTCCTATTTGCACATCCCTGTTTACTGTGCCAGCAGTGGTGATAGAGATCCTACAGGGGCAGCGTATTTGAGATAAGCAAATTTAACTACAAATTCATTACTGAAAATAGATATCTATTAATACCTCTGTTAAAGATGAGGATACATTCCAGTGATATCTTTGTCAGAAACTTCAAAATTGCATGTAGTAATAATATAGGAGATACAAGATATGTTCCTTGACGGCACAACATGGATTTTAAGGTTATGTACTACATAAAATATCATTAAGTGTGACTTACAAAATCTAGGAGTCTTGGGGCAGAGGACTGGGTTTGGATTCCTGGGTATGAGTGAGTGGGATTGGCCTTTGCTTAGCCTTGTGCTTAGGCAGATGTTTGGAAGGGGAGAGCCTTTGGGGTGGGCAGATTTACTATGAGGGTAAGCAGGTGAGAGGTGGTGGGCCAGCCTCATCCTTCCCCTGGTAGTTCTTAGGAGTTAGGAGTTAGGGAAGCGTAGAGGTGTTTTGTGAGCTACAGCCTCTCCCTTTGAGCCCTTTCAAGTTAATCTGAAACAGGAGTTCTTAACCCTTTTTAGTGTCATGGTTCCCTCTGGCAGTCTGATGAAGCCTGTGGACCCCCTGCTCAAGATGCTTTTAATTGCATAAAATAAACCACATAGGATTATAAAGGGAACCAGTTATATTATAATAGTTATCAAAGTAATTTTTAAAAAGTTCCTGGCTCCCCAGCAATCTTTGTTCTAAAACAAGTAAATGAGCCTACTCTTTGGAACCAACAAAGTAAGCTTTGAATAAATTTCAGGGGCTCCTCTACTAAGTTCCCTGCTTCTAGTGGCATATTCCCCTAAATGCTTACTAATTAATCCCTGAGATACCTTTAATTTGGAAAGGCATCTCCTTTCACCTTTCATTTCATAATTATAGGGCCATTTTTTTTTAATGGGGAGAGGGAGAGGGACTAACAACTGGGAAAATCAGGACAGACCTCCTGGAAGAATTGGCACCTTGAACTGAGTGAGTCTTAAAGGGACCTAGATATTTCAGGAGATGCAACGTTCCATGTTTGGGAGGACCAGCCTGTGCAAAGCAGAGGTGGGAGATGGGTTGTTGTGTATGGGGAGCACCAGGGAGGCCAATCTGGCTGGAACCAGATTTTGTGAAGTTTAATAAGAACAATAGTCTGGAACCATATTGTGAAGGGAATTACATGCCAAAGGAAAGAATGTGTTATCTTATTGTAGAGGTGGGAAGGATCACTGAAGCTGCTTCTTTTTCTTTTGTTTGTTTGTTTGTTTGTTTGTTTTTTGCTAGGCAATGAGGTTAAGGGACTTGCTGAGGTCACACAGCTAGTAAGTGTCAAGTGTTTGAGGCCGGATTTGAATTCAGGTCCTCCTGACTCTAGGGCCGGTGCTGTATCCACTGCGCCACCTAGCTGCCCTCACTGAAGCTTCTTGAGTAGGGAATGGCAACAGGGTTGTTATGAGGAAAGTGTTTTGTAAATTTTTAAGACCAACAGAAAGGTGAATTATTATTGATGTCTCCTTTGTGTTTCTAAGATCCAGGTTTTGTTTTTTTTTTTGTTTTTTGGGGTTTTTTTTGTAGTGTCTGGGAACAACTCCGTGTCTCCCTGAGAGGAACAAACATAGCCATCACTCAGTTTCATGCCTTTCACAGCACAGGCTTCAGGCTACAGTTGTTTTTAAATTTTTTTTCCTTCTAAATTTTATGGTGTTTGTTTTTAATAGACTGCTTCTGTTTCATTTGAGGGGGTTTTATTATCTTATACAGCCCAGTGCTTACAGAGTGAAGCATCTAGTGATGAAATCTGTTTTCATTTTCTTAAACTCATATTAATGTTGGCCCACTCTTCTTAAGACTCTCCCATTCATCAAATCTTATGTGCTTTCATTACAAATAATGCTGTGGTTTAGGGGGTGTTATCAATAGCTAAGCTGAAAAACCAAACCCACAAATTCCCATTACTGTTATTTACGGTGACACTTTGATGGCAAAAATCTAAAACTTCTACAAGTAATTTTGTTGACGGTAAATCTCTTCTTTCATGATTTTCCCAGTCTTGAGTGAAGTTGGGCTGCATAAAATGTGCTAGTTTTATTCTGACACAAATGAGTGGAAACTTATTTTTTTTTAATGTCCTGGTTTTATAATCCCACTGATGCCATGGTGTTCAACAGGCTGGTGGGATGCCATTCTTTCTGACCTTAGAATTTAGCGATGGTTATGAACCTGTGCCTAATGCTGAAATGAAAACGCTGGTCTCCTCTCTCCTTCACTGTGAGGCATGAACTCAGGCTGATTTGGTCCCTCCTCTTTGCTCTGTGTTTTGGCCCATTTAGTAGAGGATTCATATAATATTCATATTCACAGATACATTTAAGCATCTCAAACCTCCACTGGCTGTTAAAGGTTTATTTTAGCATATTCCATGCTTAGATGTATCATGGAGAAGAACTAAGCCTTGAATGTAAGAGATCAATACAATTCCATTTAATTCAAGAAGGTTTTATTGACTGAAGGGAGAGGCAGCTTGGCAGTGGCTGGAAGGTTGGCCTTAAAGGTAGGAAGATCTAGATTTGAGCTCTGCCTTGGATGGAGTTACACACACAGAACTGTGACCATACATAAGTAACCTACCCTCTCTCAGTGCCTCAAACAACTCTCTGAGTTGAGTTTGTCGATCTACATTGGTGAAGGGAGTTTCCATGCTTGGAATTGCCCACAGTGATGAAACCCTCAGATTTGAACCCCTCAGAACAACAACAAAAAAGCAAGACGAGGATGCTAAGTCCTAGGAATGAAGGAAATAGTTCTTGCCCTCAAGAAACTTACTTTCTACTTAAAGGGATATAACTTGGGCATGAATATGCAAATATAAAGTAATTTTGGGGGCAATGAGTGGGGGTGGGGATCAGGAAAGACCCAAGGAGCAATTGGTACCTGAGCTGTGTTTGGAAAAAGCTTGGGATTCTAAGAAGTGGAGGTGAGGAAGGCAGGTATTCCATTGATGGGGATGTCCAGTTCAGAGGGATGGAGAAGGGAATTAGAGTACCACATGTGAGGAATGAAAAGGCAATTTTGCCTGTGTCAGGGAATGCAGAAAGGGAATGAATGTATAATGAAGCTGGAAAGGTAGATTGGACCCAGGTTGGGAAGTCCTTTAAAAGCCAGAGTAATTTATTTTTTTATCATAGAGGCAATAGAGTGTCCCCAGAATTATTGAGTGTGGCAATGACATGGTCAAATCTATGCTTAAGAATGACTTTGACAGCTTTGTAGGGGATGGCCTGGAGTGTAGAGAGATTTGAGACAGAGAGACCAAGTAATAGGTTGTGGCAGTGATTGAGGGGAGGGGTGATCTAGGGTTGTGTCTGTATGAAGAGAGTGAAGGGAGAGGAGGTGAGCGATAGGGTGAGGGTGAAAGTGGCAAGATTGGGCAACTGAATGAAGAGGTGGAGTGAGGAATGAGATGCTGAGGATAAATACTGTTGTGGTTATAAACTTGGGAGACCGGAGGAGTAGCGGCACCTTCTCTGGAAAAAGAGTTGGGTTTGAGGGAAAGCTAATGAATTGTGCTTTTGACGTGTTTAATTGGATGAGGTTTAAAAAACAGTAGCCAGGTCAGTCTGTCTGGAACTTAGAGGGCATAATGTGGAATGTTGGGCAGTAGAGATGGACAAAGAGCTTGGACCCACGCTGGGAAGGGCTATAAATGTCAAGCAATGGCGGCAAGAGGGAGCCACTGTTACTTCTTGAACCTGGTGAGTGACATGGGCAGATCTGTGATTTGGGGAGATTATTTCATCAGATGTCAATCTAAAGAAAAACAGTCCAATGTGTTATCTTTTTATTTTAGAATTATCTGCCCTGCCAGATTTTTTTTTAATCGACTACCATAATTTACAATTTGCCATGTGGAAGCGGCTACCATGGGTGGTCTTACGGCTACCATGTTTTTGCTGGGATTGGGTGGGGATGGCAGCCATTTTTCCTATTCACGTGTGGAGTCTGACTAGACTTGAGAAGGATCTCAAGATTCTTTTCCCAGTGGCTACTTCAGTTGCAAGGGGGAGCAGCGGAAAAATGCACATGTAGCTAACTAATATCCAAGTGTTTTGTTTTTCCCACAGGACCATTCATCAGTGTGGTGCTGTCGAAGTTGGAGAACATGCTGGAGAACTCCTTGCATGTTAATTTGCTGCTTATCGGGATCATTACTCAGCTGGCCAGCTACCCCCAGCCCCTCCTCCGATCTTTCTTGCTTAACACCAACATGGTCTTTCAGCCCAGTGTTCGATCCTTGTATCAGGTATGTTTGCCTGCTTCCCATTTGTACCTGCTGCTTGCTCTGGCAGCTAATTTGTGAGAGAGTCCCCTCCCCTCCCCCACTGGTCCATTTTTATTTCCCTTCATCCATATGAATTTGTCTTTGTTCCTTGTTCTCATTCCTTTGCTTTCCTGCCCTGATTCAGAGAGTAAAACCCCTGCATAAACTGCAGAGCTTCATTTGGTTTCATGTTCTAGAGGTTCTGCTACCAAGAAAACCCAGACATTTTAAAATGTGCATAATGGGCCCTTACCTCAAGTACCTGTAAGACTTTGAAAAGTGAGAGTGGAGCTCAGTGGGGAGCATCAGAATGCCATAATTCATTCAAAAGTCATCTCCCTGCCCCAGGTCTCTCCCCTCTCTGACTTATCCTCCACATAGCTAACAAACAGATCTTCCTAAAGCATTCCCCTTAGATTGTGAACCTTTGACAGCAGGGACTGTCTTCTTTCATAATTGAATACCTAGTGCCTAGCAAAGTGTCTGGCACATAGTAGGAACTTAATAATAAATGTTTATCGACTGTTCCCCAAAGCACAGATCCCACCATGTCACGGGCATCTTTCAGTGATCCCCTGTTGCCTCCAGGGAGGCATTTTAATATATATTTAAAATATATAATATAATATAATATAATATAATATAATATAATATAATATAAT